TAGACTCTTATAGTTATTAACTGATTTTTCAATTAGTTTCAACTGAATACTTTTTGTACACGTAATAAATTTACATAAAGTCATTTGCATGTCTCGAAGTAAACATCGCATTCATACGTCTATTAGTACGACTGACAGTAAGACCATAATCTGGCTATATAAAAAAGGCAAAAATTAACATAAAGTCTCAAAATCTTGAAATGTTTTGCAATCTGGATAAAATACAAATGGCAAATTAAGATCTCAGAATGGATTGGCAAAATCGCGTAGTCACGCAAACTGCTGGAAACAATTTCATGTTTAACAGAATTATTTGATTATTGACAGTTTAACAAAACCTGTGACTGACCCGAGAAAGGATAGGACACGTTTCATGAGAGTTGGCTCCCGAACACTGAAATTAGTCACTGTATTGTTTGACGTCGAATGCTGACGTTTCATCTAAAAGCTGTGGAACTGTATATTCTTATTGGAANAGTGTATATTGAAAAAATTTTTGAAACCATTATCAATTTCGTCTTCTTTATTATCTATTAAAAACTGGATTTATAATTTTTTTCTTTAATTTAAAAAATTTTATATCAATATTCTGTAAATCGTAGATACGTAAGTAATAGTTAAAAGTTGACTACGACTTTTTCGATAAAAACCAATTTAAAAACAAGCAAAAACAAAAAAATTACGTAGGGATGCAATTTTTAATTATATTTTAATTTTAAAAAGTTTTCCATATCTGGTCTCGATTTTCATTTGTTTAGCTCTGTTCTTCAGATTAATGAAGGATCGACGAACAGACGGACGATAATGAGAATGTATAGGTCTGCAATTTGAAAATTGAACTAAAGAATCAGTTGTCAGACTGCTTCTAGCTGTGGTGGAAAATGATGTCCCAAAGAACTTTGGGTAAATAAAAATTAATAGGAAAATAGGGAACATATAGCATTAGTAGCTTAACCAAGTGTTGTCATCAGAGAATGCTGAGAATAAATTTGTTTCATTTATCCTTCTTTAAGTAATTTTTTGCAATATTTAAATAAATTTCTGCATTGTCAAATATCAAACATTGTAAAAGATTTAAGTTACTCCAGATCCTTGTAACTATTTACAGAAAACAGGTCCATGAAAAAGTGAAGATTTAAAAAAAAAAAAAAAAATTAGACAATTTACTGCAATTTTATAATAACAAAATCATTCGTAAAAAGTATAGACTCTTATAGTTATTAACTGATTTTTCAATTAGTTTCAACTGAATACTTTTTGTACACGTAATAAATTTACATAAAGTCATTTGCATGTCTCGAAGTAAACATCGCATTCATACGTCTATTAGTACGACTGACAGTAAGACCATAATCTGGCTATATAAAAAAGGCAAAAATTAACATAAAGTCTCAAAATCTTAAAATGTTTTGCAATTCGGATAAAATACAAATGGCAAATTAAGATCTCAGAATAGATTGGCAAAATCGCGTAGTCAAGCAAACTGCTGGAAACAATTTCATGTTAAACAGAATTATTTGATTATTGACAGTTTAACAGAATAAACCCTGTGGCTGACCCGAGAAAGGATGGGACACGTTTCATGAGAGTTGGCTCCCGAACACTGAAATTAGTCACTGTATTGTTTGACGTCGAATGCTGACGTTTCATCTAAAAGCTGTGGAACTGTATATTCTTATTGGAATAAATAAGCACTAGCTAACCAGATCCGGCGTAAAAGAAGTCCAAGTTAAAATTTAATATAAATTACTACACATTTTAATAAATTTTCGCTTTTAATACTTAATAATTTATGTGTTTGTTATAATCTGTTATGTAAACAAAGTTAACTTTACAGTTAAATTATTTTTTATATATTTAGCATTCTTCTTATTATTTTTATTATGAACGAAAGGCCCTGGTCCCTTGGGTTACATCCTAGTTACGTCATAAATAAGTCACCAATTTAAAGTACAAATAAAAAGACTCGATTGAATTTGTTACTGAGTACAAGACAAGTGGTGTTTATCAGAAAGTATACTGTTGTTTTCTGAAGAAAACAAATTATGCCTTTTTGGAAGTGATAATAAGAGTTTTATTTGACGTCTTAAAGGTAATCGATATAAGATCGGAATCGGCTACAGGGAAAATTTGTTTGTTAAACTATATTGTTAAGCACGATGATGGAAACTCCATGCGGCTAGCCCGTTGGTAAGACACGAACCCGCGACCAATTATCAACGTTCAATGGTTTTATGCACTCTGCCATTGGTGGACCGATAGGTAAAAGACAAAAATGTTAAAATCTTTAAATTATAATTCGATAGAATATTTGTAGATTCTATTTTCTTGTTCTTGTTTGTTCTTGTACTTTTGCCCAAATTATTTTTATTGTTATAAAATAGTAGGAGATTATTGTTAATTTTTTAAAATAGAAATTATATTTTTAGCACATTTCTTCGTGTTATATTTACTTATTTTAAAATTAACTTACAGTGAAAAGAATTATAGGTAAAAGTTGACTCGAGTCAATACTATTGTTCCGACTATATCATTCTCATTGTATCTATCAACACTACAAAAAAAGCAATTTTATTATATATCGTAATAATTTTATAGTTGCATAAAATATCTATTAATTAATGTACAGTACATTTTATAACATGCTATACTTACACTTAGATTCTTAAAAATATTATTTCTTAAGACTTGTTGCAAATAATATTACAGCATATAATTGTGTTCAATAGCATAACTTTTGTTTTCTTCAATCTTTAAGTTTACTTCTCATCTTGTACATAAGATAATTCCTAAATAATTGTTAAAATCCAATATAGCATGTTAACGACAATATCAAAATTAAACTAAACCAGTTATAAGTACTTTTCCATTAATTCTCTTTTTTAAAATCATTTGATAATTTTTCTAATTTTATATATATTTATAGACTTTTTCGATTTTCAGTATTCCATAAGAGAATTTATTACAGTAGCCCCTCGTTATATTGCGCTACGTTATATCGAGGATTCGGATATATCGCGTTTATTTTGGTCCTCCAAATTTTAAAAGCACTCGAGTCAATAAATTTTAAATTATCAATTGCCATTGAATTTCTTTTTGCAACGAAATACGGTATTTTATCCTACCATTGTCCTCGAAACTACCGCTGCAGGTGAAACAATAAAATCGTCAAGATCTAAATAAGCAAACCAGGTGGACAGATCAATTATCATTTGTTTCCTTTTGATATTAAAAGTTGTTTATTAATAGGTTATTAATTCGGTCTCCTCATTTACAAGTTTCTGTGAATTCGAAATCGACAGTATTTGTCTTTAAACATCATTGTTAAAGAAACAATAATGCTAAATGGGCATTCGTGGTATCGAAGTTTAAACAACGAACGTCATTTAATACGATATAACCACGAATAAAATTCAGTATTGAAAAACTAAGCTTATATCAGAAACACTTACTGATGAAAGAATAGAGGATAGAGATTCCAAAGCATGTATAATTTGTGTAGTAAAAGCCAAGAATTTTTAGTATTCAGCGCTTTTTCTTTGTCTCCCGACAAGCACAATATAACGGAAGGGTTAGGCTTACTGTATATTCTTTTTCGATAATTAATGTTTTCCATATTTAACAAGTTTAACTGAAAACAAATAAATAAAAAGACTAATTTTCATTAACAACTAAAAAGAATAATTATTGAACATTTAGCGCTTAATTTTGATTTAAAATTTATTCGTATGGCTTATTTAGGAATTAATTTATGATTAGGAGATAATTCTTGTTTTTACACAACAATAATAATTTTAAATGTATAATCCATTTATTTTCTGTATGATTGATGCTATAGCTAGAATCATACATCAAAGTATACCAAAGATAAACTGACACGCTGACAGTGATGTAAATATCTAAGTTCGGCTTTAAAAGGTAGCAATTTAAATGTTTGAAACATGATAAAAATTTTTAAATTCAGATATCAAATAATCCATGCAGCTCAAATCTCTCATTAATGCAAAAGAAGAAACAGGAAAAACTATACGAGTATCTGAGAAGGTTCTTTGATACTTAATATCGTTCGTTTAATGAGTTGTCTTTGGATTATTTTGTAATTTATGGATAAATTTTGGTATTAATAGAAAAAATTCATAAATGCGTAAAATTTATAGTTTTAACTTATTTATAACTTTACACTTTTTATAGTTATAAAATATTTAACTTAATTTTAAAAAAAATATAGTAACATTTTNTACTTATTTATAATTATTTCAGTTAGGTATTAAAACCTAACTGAAATAATTTTTAACTTATGTAACTTTAAGTCAATTTGTTTCTATTTAAGCGACATTTACACTTAACACAGAGCTGTTAGCAGAAAAATATAAAGACAGAAACTTAAATCTTTAGGGATATAACTTCTATAACATGTAAAGGAAAATTTAAAAGTTTTAAACGTTATCATTTAAACAAATGTAGAAGGTGAATTATCAGAACACAATAAAGAAACACAAGAGCAGGTTGATGCTAAAATGGAAGTAGTATAGGCTAAATGAAAATTTATTAATCTCACATCATAATTATCTAAATGGTGTCATGAAATTTTATCACAAAAAAAGTTCGGTTTTGATTTTTTCCAGATGACTATTTTTAATACTTTGGGGTGCAAAAGAAGTTAATGGAGAAAAGAATGGTTATGAATAATTAGACAGGATAGACCAATCGGATTAACAGTATGAAAAACAAATCTGCAAGTTGATGCTAAACGTGTGACATTTTAATTATTATTTAGTAAATTAATGAAAGTCCTAGTACGAAGTCAGATAAATAAACTACATCCAATCGATAAATCAATGTCCACATCACGATAACAAGTTGTTCGAGTTTAGACTCTATTAATCAACGATTAATTTGGGCTGTTCCAATAGTATGATTAACGCTATTTCAGAATGGAATCAAAATTTTAGGAATAATTCCGGGATGGGACAATAATATTGCTTTAGACAATTTTTAGATCTATTCTCGTTTTTTAAAACTTTCCAAAAAACTAACTAAATATTTATTGTTTTTTTTAATTTCAATAAATTAATTAATTGTAAAGCTCTGTTCAGCCATCTTTTGTCAATCGAAAAAATTCTGTCTCGGCCATTTGGACCCCGTTCTTTAAACTTTAATAATAATAATAATGAGATTAATAATAAGTCGACAGGCGGGCCAAGCAAATTTCGTTTCGGTTTGGAGGTTCACGGCACGATGCGAGAAGAAAAATACATGTGAAACATGTGGAATTTCACGCAGATTCGCCTTCCAAGCTGTCAAGGAAAGAAGACGAGGAGAGTCGTCGCGAGGTCAAAAACATGAAATATTGGGCGGCCAAAAGTAAGTTTTTCATTTTTCTTTCTATTTAGATTTTCTCCAGTAACACTTTAATTCGCTAACATCTTTGCTAACTTTCATATTTAGTGAAGTAATTTCGGTCGAACCGCTTTTTCTACCTTGATTCTATTTCCTGTTCTTTAATAGAATCAACAATAAAACGTAATGTACAGTACATGATTATCATTGAATTATAATTATCCGAAAGTAAAAATATTTTGGCATACAAAATAAAGAAAAGCTTAAAAGCTCATTGCATTGGATTGGTTTCTTTCAAATTCTTGTAAATTACATCACCGATTTTGGTTTTTGTCCATTGTGTGCTTATTTAGATCTGAAATACAATTAATATGAATGAATAAAGGGTATTGGCGAATTTCAAACTTCTTGAACAGATGGAAAACCGGATTATTCAAAGAGACAGGGGCAGCTTCTCATAACAGTAATTCTTCTAAAATGCATAATGATATAATTTATATATAAAATATTTTGGATAATACAATAATACTGCAAGAAATTATTGGAAGATTTGTCTAAAAGTTGTTCCTGAACAGATTGGAAGATTTAGTACCAAAACTTATTCTTAGTTCTAAGTCACACAGAACGTTCCGGTTAACATAACTAAGTGATGTAGAAAAACTTTGCACACATTTCCGAGTTTAAAAATTTCGGCAACTGACAACACTTTCTTTTCAGTCGGCCAAGTGTTCCGGAAAGTAAAGCAAGCAAAGAAGCGAAGGAGAAGAAGTATCGATTCGTTTGTCTCCTCTCACGGTGAGTAATCCATTTTGTTTTCTGCTGGCGCTTCTCTCGCCTTCATCTATCCTCTTTAGGCCGCCCAGAGGTCCTTTGTCCAGTTAGATTTCACTAAGCTTAACATTTTACATTTTACAAACGCCGCCCGGATGGTGAAGTGCGAACGACGCTCGAAAGACCCGGATTCGCGGCAAATTCGTGCTCAGGACCGACTCCACCTTTCTCTCCCCCCTCTTAGTGTACACGTAGAGAATGGGTTAAATGGAAACGGAATAATTTTCAAAGGCTTTTTATCATAGAATTGTTACTCTTTATAAACGATAAAACAACTTAATAAATTATCATTTTTTGTGATATTTAAAAAGAGATTTAATGACATAAGAAATTTATTCCTAATTTTGCGTTTAAGAATTATTTGCTTTGATCAAGTGACAATGAGATAAATCATAAGTCATTGTATTAAATTAATGATGCAATTTCTATATAATTTACTTCAAAGTAATATTAATTCTAATGTAATTACATTAAAGGCATTTATTTATGTCTGGTATTTATTCTGATTTAATTCTAATTGTAATTATTAAATAGTCTACTTGACATCCAATTTTATTGTTCTTAAATTAATCATCATTTATTCATTCCGAGTGATTTGAGAAATTATCAATACTGTTAAATTATGTCTTCTGATATTTGAGCAAATTTTAGTGAATTATAATTTCAGAAGATTAAAATTTTATTAGCTGTTAAGGTCATCTTATAGCCTGAGAAAAGATTCCCTTACAGCTCACAGGATGGAAAGAGAAAATGAAAAGAAAAAAGTCATCTTATGGATTTAACTGTGCTCACATTCTAAGCAGCCAGATTCAGAATAGCAAACTGTTTCTTCATCTGGATAGAAAGTTTTCTTACATTTTTATAACATCATGCGTGACGTTATTAACAAAAGTTATTATAATCTAATATAGGCAGTCATACAGATTAGATTCGTTTTGCTATAAAATTCCATCAAGGACTTTATCCACGGAAATGTCCTTGTTTCGAAATTTTGCAAATATTAACCTTAAAAATTTCTTTCATCTCCCTAAAAAAACAGAAGTCTTTAACATTCTATAAACTGAACTCGAATCATTCACTTCAATTATCACGAAAATTTATTTTCAATCGAAATTCTTTTACTTCTTATTAAATTTCGGGTCTAGCGTTGGCGAATAATAATGGTCTTTCCTGTTTTATGCATGAGATTGTGGTTAAAATGAAAAAAAAATATATAGATGCACCACGCGCAACTCATCGTGTAGACAAAAGAACAAAATTTTATCATCTTGTTTTAAGATGTCGTCGACGTCTTTTCCTCGGGGACTTCCGAGAAGACCTTTCGAACAAAAGAGGGATGATAAGGAGAGAGAAGCGATTGTCGTGCATGAGCAAAAATGGAGAGCAAAGTTGATACCGGGACTGACTTCGTTGCTTCCACAGATAGCGAGATGGAAGACGAGGACAATCAGACTATTCGCTTTCGTCCGGAAGCCATCGACACCCTGATTCAACTGACCAAGTTCGACCGCAGGGAGCTTCAGCTCATGTATCGCGGATTCAAACAGGTGAGTGTTTGTCTTCCTAATACTTTCGCGTTCGATTTCTGTTCGGAAATGTCTTACGCAAGTTCGATAACGATGAACGGGTTCTTTAATAACGTTCTTCTTTTATTTCATTAAAACGCGCTGTTCCAGTTCGATGTTTTCTCCATCGGGTCTTTATTAATTCAATGTTTAGTTTTTTTTTTAACCACGAAACTTAGTCGATTGTAACTGATGACAATTCAACGCGACAATTAAATTCAATTCAATAGTAATTTAATAACGTAAAATCTGAAAAAAGTGCAGATAAATACAGGACTTTCTGAGACGACCGTCTTATTCGATAATAAGACTGATAATAAGTAATTTGATACTCGACTGTCAGCGAATAATTTAACATATTTCTTTAATATTAGGAAGGTCTTTATTACTTGTTATTTCAAGAACATTTTAATCCAGTTTTAATCATTTCTGTTTCGGTTATAAAGAGAAAACGATTAAATAATTAACAGAGAAACATATTAATAACCGAATTGTTTGTTCTCTTTTTTGTGAAACTTGTTTGTCTCTTTTTTTATTATTATTTTCAGATATACAAATCTGCATTTAACACTTTCAGGATCGTTTAAATTGTCGTAGACATATCGTTTTTCGATTATCGAAAGACAAGTGAGCCAAAGATAGCAGCTTTTGTGGCGCCTATCTTCTGCTCTGTGTAACAAAAAAGACAAAAAGACTACTACAATTCATTCGATTTTACGTTTATTCAAGATATAAATATGCCTTACATGATTTGGAAAGACAAATGCACTATCTCAGTCGTCAGTTTACGTGATAGATACGATTAAACTTTTAATTTATATATTGTTAGTTTGCATATATTTCTATATATAAATATATATTTTTCCTTCATAGTTACATTTGCATACAAAAAACAGATCGTTTATATGAAAAAAAGTGCTAATCAATATATAAAGTGTATAAAATATTCGTTATGTAATAATTATCTTTTACTAAAATTTGAAATATCATTTCTAAATATATTCTATAAGGAAATACATTTATTTCGTTTGAAGTTAGAGTTGACCATCATTTTTTAAATGTGAATAGCAGCGTATATTTATTTGAAAATAAGTTTTTTTTTTCTTGTTTGTTGGGAGCTGGCTTCTCGTTAATTTTCTGACGATGATGAACATCTTAATATCTCAGAAAAAAATAAAGAGGCAAAACAATTAATAATATATAAAAGTAACTGAGGAGAGGTGGGAAAGAGTCGAAATGTATTTTACTGTTAATAATATAAAATGAGAAAGTCAATAAAAGAATTGATGTTTTGGAGTTTTATGGTTCAAAAATTCGATAAATAAAATGATTTAAATTGTCATTAAAAATGTTTTAAATCATATTTTTGATATTGCGCAATTATGCAGCATTATTCGAATTTGTAACACTGCCAGCTAACTTATTTACACTTACAATTTTTTGTCATTCTCTGTTTAAAATGTTGATGTCTTATAATAAATTGTAACGTGAAGTTAGAATAAATGTAAATCTGAAATAAACTTCAAATGATATAAATTTCAAGTAAATCAAGTACTGTACATTTAAGATCAGTGGAGAGTGGTCTTATAGGCAAAAACACCAATTAGCTAGCTCCCCCATCAACTGGGGGCCCAAATCCATCTTTTATAGGAAAATATTTTCCCAAAGTTACATTTTTCATGTTAATACTGTATAGTACAAGGGGCCCCCTAACCAGATGACTAATTTAAGTGTTAGTATAGTTCTGAAACTATATTAAACTATACGAAACAATTTGAGTTTGAATACGTTGAATCTTAAGCATTCCTTAAGAATTGTCACTATATTAACACTTATTCGTTATTACTGTATTATTTATTGATTTTAATAAAATAATGTTTCGTGTATAAATTTTACAACAATAGCAATTTTTGTTAAAGCATTTGTATCGTAATCTTATTATTGATTAAATTGATTTCTTCAAAGTTTGCTATAAGTATTGGCTAAACGGTCAATTGCAATGGATCGAATTTTAAACCTCTAGTAGTCGATACTTTCAAATATTTGCCTCGTTTCATTCAACTCTGTCCTTCAGAAGACGTACGCTGTGTTAATGTTACATGTAAAGGTTTAGCTCAAAACTCAAAATGCATTCAAATTAAATTGAGCTTATGACATTCTTTTTATTTAAACGACACGCTTGATTCTAATTGCAAAAGCTAAGAAAACTATTTAAAAAAATAATAATAACAAATTGAATAGTTTCCAAGATATATTGCCAAAATTTTGTTTTATTAAATATAAAAAAAGTTTCGACCAACATTATATCTATTATAAAATCATTTTAAAAATGAGTTTATATTATGAAATTTAAAAATATATTTTAGTTAATTAATTTTATTTTATTTCAATATTAAACACGTATAATTTTAACACAACATAAGACATTAAATTCAAATTTTTTAAATTTGAATCGTGAATAACGTGTTATATAACTAAACACACAATTATTACTTTCCCGGCTGTTATAATATAAGAGGGAAACTATGGCAATCGGTCAAAAAATGCCCTCCAAGACCTTTGGACTCAAGAGACCTTAAAACGTCGAGAAATGCAAAAAATTTCGGTTTTTTTCCATATATGTATGAATGTTAGTGTGTGGGGGCACGATTTTGTTGAACCTCTTTGAAGCTTAATAACTCCTGTGCTTTTTGTCGAAAATTTCTGAAATTTTGCTTATTAGAGGGATTGATGTTATTAAATTTCGGTGGTTAAAGGTCGACAGGGTGGGGAGATAATGGGGGTCATGTGTATTTAAGTCCGACCCCAGTAGGGTCGGACTTAATGACGATTTTACTCGTTATTTAGCATTTAACATCTCATAAAACTCATCCCTACCCTCAAAATTAAGCTTTTTGCTGTTTTATAATAGTTAAAAATATAAAAAGTTTAAAAATAAAATATGATAACAGATGGCGCCACAAAAATTTTAAATGTTGCCGAGAAAGTTAAGCAACTCGTTGTTGGATTTTTAATTTTATTGAAAATTTTGAACTTTTAAAGGATTAACAATTAGTTAAACAATTTTCCATAAACAGTTTTAATAAATAAATAAAACTGAACAACACAACTATTGTATATTATTTTATATATTTTGGCTATTTAAATTTTTTTTTCTTTAAATTTTGAAAGTTATAAAATTTATATCTTAAAAATTTTTGAAATATTGTCTCCAATTTATTTAAATATAAATATTACAGTTATTTTTTTAGTTGGCTGAAAATTAACTATATAAAAACTAAGATTATGGATACTCACAATAACACCGATTTCCTAATCACTGTTAACAATTATATAATTAAACATATGAACTTTAATTATCTAGAGACTTTGTTAAGTAACCATGAGGATATTAGAAGTGGAATTTATAATATAATAGACAAAAGTGCAGCTTTTAAAGGAATGAATAGAATTTGGGATTATTCAGCTCTAGATTCAAAAATAAAATTAAAAGTATTCAATTTTTTAATAGTTTTTATCTTCTACGCGGTTAAGAAATTTAAAAGAAACTGATGATAAGATAAGAAGATTTGAAAGTAAATGTCTTCGGAGAATTTTAAATATAAAATGGCACAATTATATGACAGAAGAAGAGGTGAGAGAAAGAAGCAGTCGAATACGAATACGTATTCGACAATAGAAAGTAAATTAAATTTAAAAAATGGAAATATGGCGGTCATGTGCTTTACATGTCTGATTTAACACTCCCAGAACTGGTCTGAATTGGAGATCAAAGGAGAGAAGAAAATGGAATAGATTACATACACTTAGAAAAGAACTATTACTAATAGATAATTTATAATTACAAATGGACAAATGCACTAGATGAAGATAGAGTAAAAACTCTCTCGACAGACAGAAGGGGCTGATGAAATTTTATTTCTACCCTATTTCTATAGGTCAGGAATGAATGAATCNAAATAATAACACTGTAGCCATATATTTATCGTTTTTCTAAATTATGTCGATTGAATTGACTATTGAAAAAATAAGCAAAACGATTTATAATGTTCTTTCACAATGCGAGTATTGTTAATATCGATCAGAAAATGGCGCCCCGATGATTATGCGATGCAATTTTCACTTCTAGATTTTTTTAATTCTCCAAACTCGGAGTCGGGAGTTGTGACTCATCATTTCAAAGTCTGAATGTGCACATTGCATTAATGATAACTAGTATTTAAAGAGGATTACTTGGCAGGATTTTCTGTCACTGTCCATTAGCTTCGTCTCTTTCCCTGATGTCAAGTTGGTGGTTTTCGTTTACAAATCGCATCAATATTTGATCTTGAAATATGAGAATCATTTAAGATGACACATGCTGACTAGTTACTTATATGAAAGACTATTACTGTATCATTCCGGCCACTCGTAAGTTGGCTTTTTTATTGGTCGAGATACATTACGTTCTTAGACATACTATTGTTTTCTCAATTGCCTGTAATCATATTTATAATTTTATTATATACATAATTGTCCCAAGTTTAAAAGCAAGTTATTGTATGCTCAGTGATAACATGTGTTTTCTGGGTACAGGTCACAAGGAAACTTCGTAGGTTTCCGGCGAGTCGTATACAATTTTTTTTAACAAGCTTTAAGCGAGTACCAACGTACTCCAGTATCCTTCGTACAGTACGAAAATAACATATGCTAATGATATGCAAACTAGTAATATATAGTTTATTCTCATATTTTCACTGGTCAAGTTTAGTTTGAATGTTTTTCGTCACGAATTCTAGTTTAATTAGAATTGCATAATGGCTCAAGACAGAAAATGGGAAAATAAAATTACGTTGCGAAAACCCGAAGGTTACTCACAAATTCTTTAGATTTTTTTAAATATCAGCATGTTTTTCGAATAATTTTACACCAATTTGAGAGGCATATCTATTCAGTTTTATTACTATTTCTGACGATCCTTTAAATAGATTTTAAGAGTAAACATTTTATGATAGATCTGTATTATTTAAAGAATTTATCTCAGAATTATTAGAAGAAAGGTTACGATATGTACTGTACTTTAATATATGGCAAAGTACGCCAATTCTTTGCAATCCATTCAAATTTTGTAGATTATGACCATTAATACTTTGCCAGGATCGACTCGATACTATAATATTTATATAAGATACGATAGCTTACGTTAGGATAGCTTCACGAAATTATAATTAATAGGGAAATTATAATTAATAGGAAAATTATCAGGAATCCATTATGTAGAAGAAATTTCTGTGAAATCATGATCAAAATATTTTATTTTCAGTAAAAAAAAAATAATAATAAATGCGTAATGTATTCGATTTATCATAGGTTAAGACGTATTTACGATATTTTTATATAAATGATTCTAGAATATGTATGCTTCTTTTTAAATCGCTCATATTGAAATGATCGCTTTGCAGTTCCATGTAACGTCATAATTTTGTTCATTCGCAATTTATGAAATTCATGAAAATACTTTTCTATTTTTCTATCTTTCAATCAATTAAACTGGTGATTTTCAGTTTTATTTTTCGCTTTTGACTCTTTTATAACCATAATATTTTCCTTATCATAAATTGGGGATTAGGGAATTGTTAAGTGTTCAAAGATTAGATACCTTTTCGGAAAATAACAAATTTTGCTAGGTTTGTAATAATATACTGAAAGAATAATAATTTAAAGAAGTACAAATAATTGAAACGGCCTATGAGGATGCATTTTTCACAAAAACTTGTTTGTGTGATGATTTGGTTGGTATTGATACATTTAAATGAGGTTAAAATTTTAAAAGACACGTGCCTAAATGTCATTACAGGAGAACGAATTACAAAAATCATTAGAAAATAATATGATGAAAAATAGAACGAATCCATTGTCGGATATTAAGCTAATTTATCAAAGGATTTCGATACTACAAACACTTGAATGAAAATAAAATTAAATCGAAGAATTCTTTTCATTTTAGTTATGCAGCTTTTCCAACTTCATTTTTTGCTTTTTTAATTTGATCATTTGCATCATCGGGCCGATTCGAAATCACCGAGTTTTGACGCCGAGTGTTTCTGTTTCGAAGATCTCTGATAAGTATTCAAAAGGGGAACGGTCGGTGTCTATCTCAACTAAGACAACTTGTTCTTTTAAAGTTGCCGAATTTGTTCTGAAAAGAAAAACTTTAATCTGGCCTTTTGTTTACAGGAGTGTCCTTCGGGCATGGTGAGGGAAGACGCTTTCAAAGGCATCTACGCACAATTCTTCCCTCGCGGAGCGGATATCACCCAGTATGCCCACTACGTATTCAATACTTTCGATCATGATCACACCGGATCCATCACTTTTACGGTGAGTAACGTTTTCGTTTTTCTTTTGTTTATACGCGCAATTCATCTGTATCAGAGAAGGTCGTTTGTAGTGATTTAAAAACTCTATTTGAAAAACACGATGGATAGGGGTAGAAGCAAATCATGGATCTGATATTAAATCTAATGTCAAGTCAAGAATCGACTCGAAAATACTTTTATCCGAAAGTAGATCCACCGTCGTCTTATATATTTTCCTTTGTAGACCGTTCAATCGACGGAAAATAGAAGGGAAAGAAAAAGAAAGAGAACATGTAGCAGATTTTCTCTTATAGGGAAAAATTTCTTATTTGTTCTATTTGTCGGACTGTGAGGGAATGTATTATTTTAAATTAAGATATGTATGAGACAGTCTGAGAAATTTATCTATGTAACTATGAGACTATAAAACCTTGTATTTTAGCAAAAACCTAAGAAACTAGTTTCTCTTATTCATATTCTCTGATTAATTTCAGTATCGTAGAAATAATATGTTAGTGTCAAATTATAAAATGTTCGATTAGTCTTTTACAAAATGAAAAAGTGAAATTATTTTTGAAAATAAAAATGGAAAAAAAAACAAAGCGTTTTTGAAAGGTCTGGCCGAACTTTAATAGCGTGTTTTATGGGTCATAAAAATGAAAAAAAAATCCATATAAACATGGGTCCGAAAATACTTCCTTTCGAAATTATAGCAATTTTATAATTAGATGTAATTAAAAACTTTTACGTACTACAAATTAATAGCAAGATAAGGTTTTGCCGTCTATGTTTTCAAGTGTTCTTTAATACGATGAACTTTAACTCAGAAATGAAGGACATTCATTTTATTTAAGGCTGAGCAATATACTAAAGCGCAACGACTATACTGAATACTTTTCAGATGCTGTAACCTGAAAAGGACCTATGTTTATAAGAAATTTTTTCATTTTTACGACCTGTAGAACAGGCTATTAAAGTTTGGCAAGACCTTTAAAAAACATTCTGCAAGTTTGTAAATTGTACCAAAATCTTAATTCGTCAATTACGATACTCATAATAAGCACCAATTGATTTATTTGTATTTTGTATTTTTTTGTTGTATTTAATAAATTTTTATCGATATATCATAAAATGTTAATTAAATCTGAAAAACATTAATAACAAATTTAATTTTTTCTTCTGAGTATTTTGACAAGCGATTATATTAAATAAATTTGATAAATAATACTTTCAATTTTATTTGAATTTCGAATTTTTATTGAAAATTTGCATGGACGTTTCAATAGTTTTCATTGCGTGCGATATTCATTGTCGCTTGAATTCACAAAATTTAGTGATTATTGAAAATAATCCAGACTTATGGCATAGCTTATGGTTTCAATAATTCATAAAAGTTTAGTGTGTGTATTGATCTTTTTCAAAAAGACCATAACAAAAGCCTGTGATCGGCTTTAGCTTGAACTCTCCTTTTACGTGATTTATTCTCGTAAAATGGGATTTGAATGGGGAAATAAGTAGAAAAATATTCTATTTCCTCTGCATGAACTTTTCCTATTATGTTTATAACCAAATGCAAGATAAGAACTTAGCATTTTATTCTAATGTAAGCGCTGAGAAAATAGTTGCTTGACTTTCTCATCCAGTCACACGAATTTGATATTAAATGGATACGTTCTTTTCTAATTTATAATTCCTATAGAAGGAATGGTGCAATGAATTAGCTTAAAGTTAAATAGTGACTTTTATTTCAGATGTCGCTTGTAACGTAAGTGTTTAAAAACACACGTAAACCTAAATCATAGAAACTGTCGACGAATAATCGAAATTACTAAAAACAAAATGAATCAAATGTTCTTCCGTTTGTCTTTTTCTGAACGATAATCACGCCTTATTCTGAGTTGCGTAGTCGTAGAAACTCTCGGACTGGTCAATTTATAATTAAGATAATTCAAAATTATCGTTTCATATGATATTTTTTTATTGTTTATTCAGGATTTTGTAGTGGGACTGTCGGTGTTGGCCAGAGGAAGTCTTCGGGAGAAACTCCGTTGGGTCTTCGGTCTTTACGATATTAACGGTGACGGATTCATCACGAAAGACGAGATGACCAGAATCGTCAATTCGATATACGACTTGATGGGACGGACTACTGAACCCTCCCTGGAAGATCATAACGCTAAAGAGCATGTGGAAAGAGTTTTTCAGGTATGTTCTTCTTTCTTTTTACTAGAGTATACTAGTTCAACACCGACATACTTTTAAATATATTTTATAACTGGAATTTTCAATCTCCTGGGATGAGTTATGCATAATTTTCGGTTACTTTTATTTAGAGAATCGTCATAATCGCATAAGTATTTTAAATCAACTGAATGATACTTTCGTCAGAAGCCAGGATATCGTGTTCAACAGCAAGTTTGTTTACTGAAATCAAATAATTTGGAAACTATGCAGATTTTGTTTTAAAATTTAAATTATATTGTTTATATATATGTAAAAACTACACAGTATAATTTCATTACTCTTTACAGTGCCAATTATTGCTGTTTTATATGTTTAAACCAGGTATTTACATGTGATAAACATCAGACCTGTAACTTTTACAAAAAATTCATTTGGATTAACGTACTTCACATTTTCTTGATCATATACTACGATTTTCTTTTCATGTTTAAACTGTCAACTTATTAAATAAATATATATATAAACTAGATCTTTACTGAGAGAGAGACTACATTCTGTAACAAATAATTTTAATAGTATGTAAGTATTTTATTTATATTTCTTGTATAAGCATAATTAGAGATATCCACAAATGTAAATTGTTATATTAATTCTGATAAAGTATGCCTATTTTTTACATAAGAAAAGCTTTTTTTTATCTGGATTCTAACAAAAAATGCATTTCCATACTTGTTTACTTGCTTTATCTTTTTATATGCAAATCTTTAAGTATGTTAGTAACATTTATTACTGACTTGGAAATTTATTGATAATAATAAGAAGTAAATAAAAATGAATTAAAAAATAGTAGGGTTAATTATATTAAAATAGGTCAATAAAATTAGCCTATATTAACTTGTTTAATGCATAAAATATGAATATTTGTGAAAACATTGAAATGTTTTAGATTAAAACAGGAGCAGCAATAAATAAAATAATAAATTTTGTTGAAAAAATTGAAAATAATATGTCCATTTTGAGATATTTTAATGAGTAAATTAAAATATGATATAGGATTTTAGAGTTATTATTGTAAAAGTTGAACTGAAAAGCTTTTTTATGACCAGAGAAGACCGAAATAAATATTATACCTTAAGAAAAATATACATTAAAGATAATTTATTGAGCATGTTTGATAAGCATAGTTTTTGCATTATAAAAGAACACAATATCTAACATATACGCACTTTATATTAAGATATACATATATAAATTATTAGTCTAAGACTATAAACTATTAGAATGTGCTCTTAATTTGTAGTGATAGGAGTCTGTGGACCCGCTGGAATCCGCACCTTGGCTTGGAACCTAACAGCTTGGAACCAGTCTTCTGGTTCCAAGCTGTTAGTTTTCTATAACGCGCTTTCTTTTTTATTTGCAAATAAATTTTCTGTTGGGAATTTGGCCTTTTTTCTGTCACTGCCTATTTTTGTTTTTATTTTCTTCTACGAAAATCAAATAGACTTTAAAATTTACGATAATTTTATATAATGTATTCACCTTTTCCCATTGGAACAATAAAAACAAATTCGGACGTTTCCTGTTGTTACAGCCTATAAGAAAATTATTTCACTCATAAATTTTTCGATTTTCATTAAATGTTTAAATCGTTTTAAGCTTTAATTATAAATTTATACCAAGTAATAAAATTAAAGTTATATATTGATGGCATTCCACATATTGTTGTTATATTGTATAAGCTTAATACAATATAACAACTTTTATGTCATTTGGACTTAAAATTTTCCTATTTCTGTTTTTACAGTCGATAAACTTTTATTACTTCGGCCACATACACTATTAATATGAATCATAAAAGCAAAATATCGGTATCTATTAATTGAGTGAATGCAGTTTACAAAAACAATTTTATGTTGACCAAAAATATTTTAATGATTTTGAAGGAAAACGTATTATCTCACTGCTAATATTTTCGCTTGAGATTGGTCGCTATAAAATTTAAATGATGTTAATATTTCGAATAGTGATTTCAAAATATATTTATGAATATTTGAAATTTATTAATAATATATTATATGCATTTAAATTGTCTTTAGTCTTCACTAACTTTAAAAATGAATTTTGCAAGCAACAATATTTCGGTTTTCAAATGCACAATTGATTTATATCATTGCTAATTATTCCAAAGTTTATTTCATTATAAACAGTTTGAAGGAATTATTATCACATTATATACTTTAAAGCAGCAGTGAAAGGAACTGTGATCTGTAAAAATGCATTGTCAAGTGTGTGTTTGAAAGCAGAAATATTCTTTTATTAAAAATGACATTGACACCGATACCAAAACTGTATGTAATGAACATTCTTGACACTGCCATTACAACTTTTGACATCGGAACGATTACTTGACGTCTCCGATATCACGACTTTCCGTAACGAAATAATTACGAATGTAAAACGAAGTCAATGAATGAATGTTTCATACTTTATTGTGTTTCGTGTACATTAAAAATAAAATGGAAATAATTTGAAAACGATTAATCTATGCATGCTTGACGGCTGTTTATATACTTGTAAGGTTTACGGGTATGTTACAGGAGATATCATTGGTTTTTTTCATTTCGCGTGCTTTATAAACAGTTACATTAGTTCCCTCATCTGCAACTTATTTATGTGTGCAACGTTGTTCTACAACTTTTAAGGAATAATGAAATTAGTTTTGAGTATTTTAAATTTATAAAGTTATTTTAAAAATTTATACTTTTATTAAAGTTCTTAATTATTTGTTTTTATTAGTAAATTAGCAGATATGTGCGTCATTGCCCGGCCAAAAGCTAAGAAGGATAAACGTTAAAGTGAAAACTATATTACAAGTTTGGTTATTTTAGATTACCGTTGTTAGTTTTATTACGAAATGTCAAGGAGATCAAATCGGGAGTTGCGGGTGTTCAGATTTAACGGTATTCTATACAAACCCTCAGAGTACTGTACCAGAGAATAAGCAGGAAAAAGGTTGTGAAAATCGACTAAAAAGCTAAGAACAGCGAGATAGAAATATTCTACTATCTATATCTATATAAACATATATATAATTGATGAGAAACCGTCGAGTTCAACAGCGATTCCGACAGAACATAATGATTCCATGGAACTGTCTAGTCCAACAGACTAAACTATACTCATATTTTGTCCGGATGACGTGTATATCTTTAGTTTTTTTAATAAAATGTGAATCCGGGTAGACAGAAAGTGTTCTAATTCCAGTATAGGGTTTGCTTCGTTAAGCCGTTCGTTCGCTCCCTTATTTGACGGCTTGCCTCTACCGAGCTTTATGATTTATCAATATACAGCAAGATCTTGTTTTCTCAAATGATGAATGGTTAGGTTAAGAAGCACGATTTGTTGACTTAAGTGGCACTAGGATTGCCACTTAAGTAAACAAATCGTGCTTTTCCAGTTATGGAAACTAACTGAATGCTATTCACTGTAGAGAATACTCTGATTTGCATATAAGTTACTGTACAGGATGATCGAAAGTAACAGAAAATTTGAAAAATCAATAATTCGCTAAGTATTTACAATAGCATGATGCAGGTTTCACGATCATCAGATAGCTCCTGAGTTGATCGCTTGGTTTGTATACCATCAAATTTTTAATGTGCTGTACTATAGTATAAACAGCATTAACGAGCATTTCGATCGGTATTGCTGTAACATGAATGTGAATAGAGTATTTCAACTCGGAGTATGTGGTTGGTCGAACTCTATACACTTTTGATCTCAAGTAACCCATAACTAAAGATCTGCAAGGTGTACGATCCGGAGATTTTGCAGGACATTCATAGGGAAAAGAGCGATTTAGGACACGATTCTCTCTAAATGTTGACCTTAGGAGTCACGTGACAGAAGCAATGTATCTGTCTGATTGCAGCACTCACGAATGATGAGCACCACATTAAAATTTTGATGTTAAACAAACTAAGCAATCAATGGGAGTCATCTGATAATCGAAAATGTAACTAATCTGGTATTAAAATTTTCTTGTTATAAACAAAACTCTCACTTCATTCTATGCATTTCTGTGAAAACCGCGTCATGCTACTGTAAATACTTAGCGAATTATTGATTTTTCAAGTTTTCTTTTACTTTTGGATCACCTGTATTTTTCTCAAATAGTGCACTAGTGCATTCGATGTAGAATAATAAAATTTGCTCTATATTTTCGGATACATAAAATATTATTCATTATAGTAAAATCGCACGGTAAGTAAAACGTTTTAAACACATTTTAACTTGTATTTTTGCTGTCGTTAATCGTAAATAGTTGCACAGTATAAGCATCTAAGCATTCGTCTGGGACTGCTTAGAGTGAAGCAGAAATGTAAGCGGAATTTAGTTTTGATGACATACAACCCAAATATAAAACAAGATCGTACAGTAAATGATCTTATGCAACTTTTGATTTTCTGCAAGAACAAATTTATTGAATTCTTTCGGTTGTGAGAAACCAAAAAAATGTTGAATTAAATAATTTCTCATTCTAGATAAAACAATGGGTTTATAACACAGTAGACCTATAATTTGAGATAAAGAGCTCCAATTGCTTTTTCCCGAGGATTTCATCTTAGTTTAGATAAATAATAATTCTTTTATCGTTCCAAATTAAAAGTTGACTTAAAGACCAACATTAGGATAGTATTTTTCAAATTTTAAAAATATTAATTTCAAAATATTTGTTATAAAACGAAATTTTCTTACACAATATTAGACGAATGAATTAAATATATTAAATTTAATATAAGTATATTCATGTAATTTCAGAATATTATTAATTAATGTTTAATTTTTAATTAGAAATGTTGAATTATTTATTTCGGGTCTAAACTTTCGTCAATTTGTTACTTGCGATGAAAATGTTTTAAATACGTGAAAATAAAAAAATTGTGAATTTTAATAAATTTTAAAAGAGCATATGTTTTGTTTCGTCTTGTTTAATTTAACATAGGAATGTAATTTTCGATTTTTAGTAAATTTTTTAAAATAATTTTCACGAAATTGGTAGGAAAGCTGATTTTAAAAAATATATATATATATATATGCGCACNTAAAGAACGGAACGTATCTACCGTCTTATAGGGGGATCTACTGTATTTTATCGATCTTCCTAAACGATAATCTATAGCTTTATAAGGATCAATAAATCTGTTGTCATTTTTTTTTCGTTGCAGTTAAGTCATTACAATTTAAAATGTTCAATTCACTACTTATCGATTTTATTTTCCATTCTTCATACACTTTTATTTATTTCGTTGTTGTCTCGTCTTTGGTGCATGTGTTTTATCATGACAATTCCAATTATGATTTTTTACTTTCCCTGTTTAAATAAGAATGAGGGAGTAGAAAATATTGAATTGCCTAGATATAGTTCCTTTTATCAATAAATTGAAAATATTGTTATTTAAAATTATATTTGGCAGCCGTTACAGTTTTTTCCTAACTCCCAGAAGTGAAAAGAATGTTCGAAGAAATTAGACCTATACGTAAACCTAAGCCAAGTTGTGAGAAAGCAGCTATAGATAATATACGAAGAGCTTTCTACAAGGATTTCGGCTGATGATATCGGAAAATAAATACTTAAAAACAATTGGATAAAAACTCTCTAAACAATACAAATGACTTTGGCAATCACTTCAGATTTACAAGATCATTGACTATTTTATAAACATCTTTTATTTGCAGTCGGTGTAGACATATTACGTAATATCGTAACTTATTTTTATCGGAAATTATACTAAAAATTTACATATTGTAAAATCGAAGTGTCAACGGTCGATAATTGTTAAAAACTTAAAAAAATTATTACAGTAGATCCCCCTATAAAACCGTTTCCTATAGTTATGATTCCTATAAAAATTGTGGCAGTATCCGTAAACAACGGTAAAAATAACTCCTATAATACGTAAAACGTCATCGGGCAGCCGAACTACTTTCCCGCCGTCCGTAGCGCCACGCTACGGACGTTTAGGCGGATAAATTGAGTTTAGTATCGTCTGTTCATATAATTATATATAAATTAGGTACTGTACATATAATTATATATTAATTATATATAAATTAGGTACTGTATATATAATTATATATTAACTTAATTTATTGTAACTTTATTATAATTAAATATATATTTTTCGCCGTCTAGCGTCACGCTACGGCGAGTTAGGCGACCTATCGTCTGTTTAGTACTGTAATTTTATACATTTCTTGTGAAAGAAACATTTCTTATTTAACGGCCATAAAAATTATTTATATTAAGGATGTCTCCAAAGGTCAACGAAGTTTTCGCAGAAAAATAATATCAGAAATCGCGGCCGCGGTTTGATGCGCTGTTCCGCGACGAAACCAAGCTTTAGCAACGGGCGTAGTCGAACGGTACACACTCGGTAAGCAATCCTACAATTTTTTGTTTATAACGTAGTTTATACGGATTATTTTCAAAAAAATATACGTATTTTGGAAATGTTGAGTCGAATTAGTCTAGAATCGATTAATTTTATGAAAGAAAACCTTTCAAACAGCCGTAGTCCGTAAACTATGATTCCTACAAAATTGATTCATAAAGAACGGAACGTATCTACCGTCTTATAGGGGGATCTACTGTATTTTATCGATCTTCCTAAACGATAATCTATAGCTTTATAAGGATCAATAAATCTGTTGTCATTTTTTTTTCGTTGCAGTTAAGTCATTACAATTTAAAATGTTCAATTCACTACTTATCGATTTTATTTTCCATTCTTCATACACTTTTATTTATTTCGTTGTTGTCTCGTCTTTGGTGCATGTGTTTTATCATGACAATTCCAATTATGATTTTTTACTTTCCCTAGATCTATTATATAGGCCTATATAAGAGAGGGAAAGTATGGCGATCGGTCAAAAATTTACCTTCAAGATTTTTACATTTTTGGACTAGGGATCTTGAAACGTCGAGAAATGCAAAATATTCGGGGTTTTTCTTTACAATATGTATGGATGACGCGATTTTGTTCGCCCTGTTTAAGGCTTAATAACTTTTGTGTTTTTTGTCGAAAATTTCTAAAATTTTGCAGAGAGGTTTGTTTATTAGGCAGATTGATGCTATTAAATTTTGGTGATTAAAGGTCGAGGGGGTGAGGAGATAAAAGGGGTCGTGTGCCATATCTCTAGTACGGTCGGATATAATGACGATTTTACTCGTTATTAGCATTTATAATTTTTTCTATAAAACCCATCCCTACTCTCAAAGTCAAAATTCTGCCATTTTATAATAAAAAGAAAACTTTTAAAAATAAAATATCGTAACAGATGGCGCCACCAAATGTTATTAAGAATGTTAAGCAACTCGTTGCTGGATTTTTAAAATGGTAATCTTCGTTTCAATTTTTATTTCGTATCTCATATTGTTTGATTTAAGACACTTGAAAATATATTTTTCTGTTCTTTCTTATTTTTCACATTACTGCACAATGGCAGATCCAAAAAATCTGTAGAGGGGTGCAAAAAAAAGAAACAGTATGCCTTATAAAATACTTCTTGAGGTACCTGGCTTTACTTGGAAAAATTATATATTAAAGTTAAAAAAACATTGAATATATAAATAAATATCAATATATAAATCGAATGTGAATTTTCAGCTCCAAGGTTTTCAAATACAGAGACAAAGTAATGCTTCCGTATGAACAATATTATTGGTTGTTTACATGGAATCGGTTTTGTCCTAAAAAAACAAAAAGAAAGTCAACAGTAGAATCCGATCAGATATTAAAATTCCTTTGCAATAAACCGCAGCTGATATGTGCTATTCGATCTGGAACTGTAGTTATGAAAACAAAGTGAGGGAAAATTAACTCTGATACTAATTGAGTTTTTTGAAAATAGGAAATAATAACTGCAAAAGAAAGGCAATGCACTTACACTTAAATTCGCATTCATGGAAGGCTGAAAAATTAATATTTTAATCTAATACAATAAAACCTCGTTAAGTCGAAGTTTAAGGGTAAAAAATTTCGATTTAGAGTTAAAGAATTTCCTGTTAACGACTTTAATACCCGATTTTCTTAAATTTTTCTGTGGCCGTAAATTTCATATTATCGGATCGTTTCTCGAGAATCTGTTTTACGGAATAATTACAAAATTGTATACAGTTTATGGAGCATCCGGGGTCGTTATCAATGCACTCCTTTGTGTTCCAATCAGAACACAGATAACATATTATATCAGTAAAAGGATGGTTGTATTCGGTATGGAGCCGTATTGTTTGTTTATTTGAATCGTCTGTATTCACACGGAATATAAAAGAAAAAGATCACGGACCTATCAAAGTATGGAGGGTATACGAGAAAATAAATTCGAGTTAAAAATACAGTACTGTCTTAACGAGACTTTATTATATGGAAAACCTTATATAACTGTGACCTGTAGAAAGCTTCAAGTTGACGCAGTTTGATTTAGCCAGATTTTATTGTATTAAAATAATAAATTTCCAATCACTGAAGGAAGATGCAGCTGCGATCTGAGCACCTCCTAAATCCACCATCGTTACTATACATTATATAACTTATTATATTGTTATATAAAATTATATCAAGATATCTAATTGTATTTTTATCTGTCCTGTCCATTATCTCAATTTTATTTTACCTCTTTCAGCTTAAAGCTATTATCATATCTTAATCATGTAACTATATACATTATTTAGTTTAAACCCATTATCTAAAATTATAAAAATACTTCCTCAAAGTATCTTTCATTTTATAATTAAGAATATGTCATTCGCATCGAACGATTGATTAATCTTCTGGTGATATATTTTTAAGTCTTGATTTTTTTTTTATTTCTGCGAATATTTAATCAAAGATAACCTTAAATAATAATCGACTCGATGACTCTCCTTACTGTATTCCTCTTGTTATTTTTAAATTTCCTGTATTTATTTTGTTATCGCATAAGTTATTTTAGAATACATTCGCCCGTCAATATCAGTTTCTGTATAACTATTCGATGATTTCTATATTTGTCTTGATAACACCATTTATTATAGTAACATACTTTAGTAAAACAGTTTTACTGTTTACAACAAAGTGAAACTATAATATATAGTTGTATTTATAGTTTTATCAGTTGCGTTTTTAAAATCTAAAGACTAATAAAAATATAATAAATAAATTACTCTATTCGACCCTTTTTTAATAAGTTTCCTTTATTTTGCGTTCTATTAAATTGAATGAAATTTAGTTTGTTCAAATCTTTGTATATCTTATTACCTTCGTTTCTTAAAACGTTAGATATTCCTTTTTCTTTTTATAGTAAATAATTAAAAATCCAGGACGAAATATGTATTTAAAAATGTATAAAATATACAATACTGAAGCCTTATACAAAAAAATGTTGTGTGTCAGTGATTATGGATGGACGTTAGAAGACTTCCAAAGAATTTTTGTATACATTCAATATTGTATACTTTTACATTGTTAAATATTATATTTTCCTGAATTATTTTAATACGAAGCACAAGACTAAATAAATTTATCTATAAACTAATTATAATGCTCTAATTAATTATACCGTATTTTCACGGAATGACTGACATGCCGCATAAAACGGGAGACTAGCATACCGGAAACCCGGGGTTACTGGCATGCCGGTTAAACTGCGACTAAAATATAAAATTAATCAGATCTAACAAAACTAGTTGTTAATTAAACGTTAAAGAAAATGTTCTTCCGAGTAGAATAAAATAATAACATTGTAATTTCACTGAATTAAAATCAGAAAGAGAGTTTTTGTTTACAAGACAATAAAACTTATGACTTATGACTTATCAATAAATAAATGACTTATTGACAGTAGTGGGCTACACTGACCTTCTATCCTGACCATAAAAATAATACTTTCCTCTCAAATTTCACACAAAGCTGATGTTAATGGGTGTAAGTCGAGATAATTTACCAGTACAGCAAGTTTCTTACATTTAATATGTTTATTTTTGCCTTTTTGAATTGAATAACAATAAAATACACATAAAAAAGGAATTCCACTATTATTTTACGTCGTTAGAAAGAAGACAAAATGAAGAAATTAAACGTGTAATCGTAGTTTTTGATGTAATGCTGACAGTTCCACAGTTTTAAAATAAAAACTCGTTCGTTTGTTTTAATGCACCCTCTAGAGAGGGATCTATAACTGGCTTTTCATCGAGACAAACCGGCATGCCGATCATTCCGCAGAAATACGGTTATATAAAGTTTCTTTATAATAATTATAAAGAAACTTTATATAGGTTTTCAAGAAATTATAATAATTTCATGAAAACCTAGTAAAAATTAAGTAATAGCGAGCAATTATTTATTATGATATGTATGATTATGTATGACGTATTAGTCATATTGAACATTAAACTTTACTTGATAAAAATTTGTATAAGCCACCTAGAATATAAAACAATTCTATTGTTTTATGGTTTTTATTGAGTACTAAATAAATACAGTTCAAAGAAACAATAGAAAAACTGTAACAAGATAACAACAAAACTTAATGAGAT